GAATACTACCTAACTATACTTAAGAAAGCAAGAGAAACAAGCCAGTCAAAAGTTATGTTTTTGAAATATGAAAGTTTTTAATACTTTCCTCCCTCATCCAAAGAATCAGAAACACTCCTCATTTCCATCTGAGGATGTAGACCAGAACATAGGTCTGCCTTCCTTCTCTCCCAGATTCCTAAAAAATGACCAAATAATAAAACAAAGACAAAAAACAATGACATAAAGAAAAAAACTCTAACACAGAAAAAGAGAAAGGCACCTCCAGGAGTCAGAATTTTACATATTGCCTRGAAGAGAGAAAGCTGATGGGGTTGGATTAATAAAAGAACCATTAACTTGAACCCAAGGACAAGCTGGACCTCTTTAAGTATGTCCCTCTCTAGCATCACAGGAGCCTGCTGTCTAGTCCTGAGTGGCTGGCCAAGAGGCTAGGAATCAAGCAGTAGAGATGCTGGAACCCAAGAGGGAGACACAGAACACTGCTGAAGGAACCAGAGGTGTCTTCTAGCAAAGTGGACAATTCTGCTGTGCACTGGGACAGGGGCCTTGTGGGGATGCTGCCCCATTAGCATGCCACAATAGAACCCCACTTGGAGAGAATGTTGGGAAAACAGAACTATGCAACCACCAGAGAGGGCAGTGCTGACTGTGGCATTCACACATGCACCCTTATTACAGACTTGGATAAGCAAATCCAGAGCTCCAATTTTGGAAAAAAGCAGCAGCTAACAAAAACCCTTTTTACCCTATCTGGTTCAAAATTTCATTAATGATTTTACTTTTCCACGCGTTAGATTTCACATGGCATGAAAAACAAACAAAACACACACACACAMAAATACAAATCACAGAAATATGTCACAAAATTTAATATCTCTCAAGCAGTAGACAGATGCTGCCACCAGAGGCTCCCATTCTGCAGGGTYAAAGGACCTAACTCCTAGCCTGGTGACCCTCAGAGGCTGCTCTGGGTGCCACAGATGAACAACAGAGAGGGGRGAATTAGTATTTGGAAAGAGGGCACTGATCCCCAGCAGAAGACAGGCTCACCAGGAGGGGAGAAGTTCTGGCAGACTAGACATAGGAAGCATGTGGGTCCTGAGCCCACAGTGCCACAGAGCTAAAAGACCGCTCCTCTGTATTTATTCTTATCCTAAAGAATTAAAGTCAACCGGGGCTGGGGCTGGGGTCAGCGATAGAGCACTCGCCTTGCACATGCAAGGCCCTGGGTTCAATCCTCAGCAACACATAAAAATAAATAAAAAATAAAATATTTTAAAAAAAGAAAGAATATACTCTTAAAAAAATTTAAAGTCAAAATACTATCATGCTACATGTATACCATGTTAATAGCAGCATAATTCACAATAGCTGAACTATGGAACCTGCCTCAAAATAAGGTATATACACACAATGGAGTTTTATTCTGCAGTAAAGAAAAGCGAAATTATGCATTGTAATGTCATGCGTAGCTAATAAAAAAAATWAAAAAAAGAAAAGCAAAATTATGTAATTTACATGAAAATGGATGAAACTTGAGATCATTATGTTAAGCAAAATAAGCCAAATTCAGAAGGTCAAGGGTCATACATTTTCTCTCATATGTGAAAGCTAGAGAGGAAAAAGGAAAAGAAAGATGGTAAGGATCTCACAAAAGTCAAAGGGAAATCAGTAGAGTGGAAGAAGGGGCCGGGGTGGGGACAGGGAGGAGGGGGAAGTGCTGGGGAGGATACTGGACAGATTATATTGTTAATATTGGGTGCATGTACAAATATGTAACAACAAATACCACCATTATGTATGACTATAATGCACGAATTTAAAAATGTCTAGAAATAAAAAGAAGAGGAAGAGGTGTTTCAACAACTCCTCTTGTCCACATGTGAACCAGCTAACASGAGACTGGTTCCCAAGTTTATCAACATGCATTCTCTCTCTCTTTCTCTCTCTCTCCCCTCCCCAACCCTCCTGTAGGAAGAACACTAACTCAGAGCACCAAGCTTGCTTATTCTATATGAAGTCTGTTCTACAAATTCAGAACAACCAAAGGATGAAAATTAGAAAACTCTCAGGCATGCTTTCTGCCACACTAAGTCAAATGCTTATAAACTAAGCAATAAAAAAGGCCATAGACCAAGATGTGCCCACAGTGCAGAGCAGAGGCACATCTCGGAGCACATTGCTGCGCTCCTTGAGGGCTGCTTGTACACAGTCACTGTGACTCCTTCACTCACTCAACTTCATGCCCAGTGCTCTAAGGACCAAAAAACAGACTCAGAACCAGTGGCCCAATCTAATGGGTCCTCAATCTCTATGACACACTCACCTACCAGAAACTGTCCCAGCCCCTAGTTGTTTGGACCCCCAGCTCTCCAGACTCTACATGGATCCATCTTATGACTGCGTCTGGCTAGGTCCATCTGACCAGTCTTTCCTCTTCACTGAGCCAAAACAGGATGAAAAGTCCTCTGAAGCTGGTCAAGAGCCCCTTCCCCACTCCCTCTGTTCTCTCCTGAGGAGGATCTTATCTACTTCCAGTCTCACGACTTCTACATGCTACCTGTACAGATACCACCCAGACTTCACTGAGCCCTCCACATGAACGCACAGCTTTGGCTGGGCTCCACCCCATGTGCTGCCTCTTGAACACACAGACCTGGAAGCCTTCCTTAAGAACTCCCCTGCATTTACTCCCACACAGAAAGCGACTGGGTTCTACTTACAGTGTCTCACAGTCCCATCTGATCTGATTGTTTCAACTCCATCACCACATACCAAACCACRCTGCCCTCAGCTCCTGCCTGGACAACATCAACAGTCTCTACAGTCTTCCTGTTTCCATGCTGACCCCTCTGCTCCCATTCTCCTACTGAAGCCTGAGAGACTTCCTAAAATGTAAATCTGATTACATCTCTTCTCTGCTAATAACTTGGCAATGCCAACCTTTTGTAACTTCAATAAGACCTCCCCTTCCCAGGCCTAGAACCCCTACCATTTCCTTCCACTCATTCAGTGCCGCTCTGCGCCTCCATCTTTGTTCCAGGAAGACTGGCCTTCCTCAAGACCCTGGAAATTGCCACCATACACCTTCCCAGGTTGGGGCCCTTATACTTGTTAACCTTGCTGCCTGGAAAATTCTCTTCCTGTCCCTCTTACCYTGCACTTTATGCTCCTAGCCCAGTGCCTTCCTTAGGAAGCCTTCTCTGATCCTCTCTACCTCACTCCTGATCAGATTAAGTTCCTCTCACCTGGTTGTCTGTACTTCCCCCCTACAATTTGTAATTATGTTTATTTCTTTTTTCCCACCCTTTTTTTTTGCGGAGTGGGTACTGGGGATTGAGTTCAAGGGCAATGGGACACTGAACCCCCCAGCCCTATTTTGTATGCTATTTAGAGACAGGGTCTCACTGAGTTGCTAAGCGCCTCACTGTTGCTGAGGCTGGCTTTGAACTCATGATCCTCTTGCCTCAGCTTCCCAAGCCGCTGGGATTACAGGCACGTGCCATGGTGCTCAGCCAGTAATTATGTTTATTTCTATGATCATTTTTCTATTTTATATCTATATCTGCCAAGAGATTATAAGCTCTGAGGGCAGAGACTGGGTCTGTTTCTCAACTGCTGTATTTATGGTAGCAGACCCTCTTCCTTGGAACATGGTGAAAATATACTAACAAGTTAACTAATGGGACATTTAATGTAAGTTACTTCTTCTGTGTGCTAAAAAACTACCCTGAAGAATTAGAGGCATACTGAATAAATGTATAAGCAAATGTATATTAAAATAAAATTTTTGAGTCTATAAATATATTTAAAATCATAAGTAGACCAAAAGAAAAATTCACATAATTACGATACAAATGTCAAATAATGGAATCAATTTCCATACTAATCTGTCTATGCTATACTCAGAAAAAATTACTGTTAACACCATAGGCCAAATATCAATTGGTCCAAAGAAAATATGCACATGATCAAGAAGCCTTAAAAAGTTGCTCAAAATCATTGGGCATCAGGAAAATTCAAATCACACATACTAAGATGGCTATAATGAAACCATTAAGTGTTGGTGAGGACATGGAAGAAGTCCAATCATTGTTTATTGTTGGGGAAATGAAAAATGATGCAGCTACAGGAAAAGTCTAGTAGTTCCTCACAAAGTGAACAGTTATCATATATAAAAGGCTGAATAATAGCCGCCCAGGATAACAGATTCAAATCCTTGGAACCGGAAAATGTTACCTTATTTGGAAAATGGGTCCCTGCATATGTGATTATATAAAAGATGCTGACATGGTTTTTTTACTGAGCCCTAAATGCAATCACAAGAGTTTAGAAAAACACTATTGTATTTACAGTCAGTGATTTTTTTGTTTTGAGATGGGGTCTCAATATGTTGCCCAGGCTGTCCTCTAATTCCTGGGCTCAAGTGATCCTCCTGCCTCAGCCTCCAGAGTAGCTGGGATTATTGACATGCCCTATTGTGCCAAGTACCATTGATGGGTTTTTGTTTTTGTTTTTTCTAGTACTGGGATTGAACCCAGAGCCTTGTGCATGCTAAGCAAGCACTCTACCACTGAGCCACAAATCGATTCATAAAAATAATCTTGGAATAAAGGTGTCCTTCCAAAGCATAATACAAAACACAGCAGATAATAATAATAAAAAAGATTGGTATGTCTGTGTAAAGAACTAAAATMTCTATATGGAAAAAAATACTATAAGCCAAGCTAGGTAAGGTGGCAAATGCTTGTAACCTAACTACTTGGGAAGTTAAAGCAGAAGGATTACAAGTTCAAGGCCAGGCAGGGCAACTTAGGGAGATCCTGTCTCAAAACAAAAAATAAAAAGAGCTGGGGATGTAGCTCAGAGGTGAAGTGTCCCTGGGTTCAATCTCCAGTACTGGGAAAGGAACTAACTAAATACTTGAAACAAATACAGAACACAGAAAGTGGGAGCACAGTTGGCCCCTCTGACAGTAGGTAGGCTCAAGTACTCACCAATGGAGTCTCTCAGCTCACTGCACTGGCTTACAGGGGGCAGCTTCAGTAACTCCCTCCATTTTTTGCTGCGACCAGTTTTTTTGCCATATCCTCCTAAATTTGGGGGGGTGGGGAAGGCATTTTTCTCAGTTTCTTTATTAATATAATATTAAATTTATCAATACAGTGTAATACAAAAAAAAGCATTTATAATTGTCAAAAACACTCAAGTACAACAATTTTTGACTCTAACATATGGTTGGATAGTTTGGCATCTAAGATGAATAAAATCTGAGCTTATAACAACTTGCCCTATCTGGAAATCAACTTGACAAAGTACAAAATTTGCATGTAAAGCAACCAATCACTGGCTTTGTCATTTAGAAACCATGTGACTCTGATCTTCTCTAAGTAGCACTGTTGAGCCTCAGTTTCCAAATTTGTGAACTGAATCTAATAAGACATTATAAGCAGACAGGGCTGCTTATAAATATTTGCTTCTTTTTATTTTTAAAGAAATTAACCTTTCTTTATTTTACTTGTTTTCTTCTCAGAAGCACATGGATCMTTCTCTAAAATAGACCATATTTTAGGCCACAAAGCAACTCTTAGCAAATACAAAAAAAAAAAAAAAAAATAGAGATAATACCTTACATTCTATCAGATCATAATGAAATAAAATTAGAAATCAATGATAAGGGGCTGGGGTTGTGGCTCAGCAGTAGAGTGCTCGCCTCGTGTGTTTGGGGACCTGGGTTTGATCCTCAGCACATAAAAATAAATAAATAAATAAATAAAAATATTGTGTGCAACTGCAACTAAAAAATAAATATTAAAAAAAGTCATCAATGACAAAATATAGAAGCTACCCTGTAACACTGGACACTAATATGCTATTGAATGACCAATGGATAAGCAGAAGAAACCAGGGATGAAATTTTAAAAATACTTAAGAGTCTATAAATATATTTAAAACCATAAGTAGAGATAAATGAGAATAGTGATACAACATATCAAAATCTCTGGGACACTATGAAGGCAGTGCTAAGAGGAAAGTTCATGGCATTGAGCTCATTCATTAAAAGAACAGAAAAGCACCAAATAAATATTGTAACTTTGCATATCAAAGCCCCAGAAAAAGAACAAATCAATACCAAAAGCAGTAGAAGACAGGAAATAATTAAAATCAGAGCTGAAATCAATGAACTTGAAACAATGGTAAGGTGCTTGCCTAGCATGTGTGAGGCACTGGTGCTGATCTTCAGCACCACATAAATAAATAAATAAATAAATAGATAGATAGATAAACAAATAAACAAATAAATAAGGTATTGTGTCCATCTACAGCTAACAATTTAAAAAATTGACAAAAGTTGGTTCTTTGAAAAATAAATAAAAATTGATAAACCCCTAACCAAACTAACAAAGAGAAAAAGTAAACTTAAATTACTAAAAATCATGATGAAAAAGGAAATATCACAGCAAACACTACTGAAATACAGACAATAATCAGAAACTATTTTGAAGATTTATACTCTAATAGAAAATCTTGAAGACATCAACAAATTTCTAGAGACATACTGACCTACCTGAATTGAATCAGAAGGACATAGAAAAGGTCAATTTCAATTTCAACCAATGAAATTGAAGACACCAGCAAAAGAATACCAACAAAGAAAAAGCCCAGGACCAGACAGATTCTCACAACAGACCTTCAAAGAAGAACTAACACCAATCCTCTTCAAATTATTCCAAGGAACAGAAAAGCAGGGAACCCTTCCAAACTCATTCTATGAAGTTAGTATCAACCCTGATACCAAAACCAGACAAAGACACGGCAAGGAAAGAATTTCAGATCAATATCTGCCAGGTTGCTTGTGACTAAAACCCTCAGGGTCACTCCAGGGGACCTGGGCTAATTGGGCTGTGCRGAAATAACCATACAAGAGAGAGAAATACCTTTTTTGGGGGGGGTGCTGTGATGGCTCCTCTGATCTTAAGGGCCCAGAGAGAGAGAGAGAGAGAGAGAGAGAGAGAGAGAGAGAGAGCCCACACGTGCTGACCCGATTTTACTGGGGAGAATCCATTCAAATGAGGCAAGAGGTCAGTTTCAGGGGGCTGAGTCTAGCTTCCTGAGTCTGCTGTCAGCAGGTTAACTGACACCYAGGTAGGCCACACCCAAGGGCACAGTAAGATAAGGGGACACACAAAGGGTGTTTCCATGGAACATTCTATCCCAAACAGGGCAAGGGGTAATATTACAAAGGAACAGGTGAGCATAGCTCCACCCATGGGGCTGTAGGAAGGCATTGAGCAGGCACTGTGCCTGCATTTATTGTGCCACGCACTGTTTTAGGCACCACAGATATTGCAGTAAAACAAGCAAAATTTCTTTCCTTCATGAAGTTTGCATTTTGGAAGGGGAAGATCAATGAACAAAATATTTATTTAGAGACAGGGTCTCGCTGAGTTATTTAGTGCCTTGCTTTTTACTGAGGCTCGTTTTGAACTCATGATCCTGTCTCAGCCTCCATTATTAAAAACATAAGGGGAACCAACCACTCAGTCTGAGGCAAGCCGTGAGACAGGAAGGGCAATGATCATAGGGGAATGTATTCACAGAAGAAAGCATGATGAGTTATGTCATGTGCAATCCACAGCTGCAAGAAGATAAGGACTAAGGTCTGAGGGCTTGACACCCAGTGCACAATTACTCCTTACTTACCTGTTTGAAGAATAAATGACAGGGGATGGGGCTGGGGCTCAGTAGTAGAGCACCTGCCTAGCACGTGTAAGGCACTGGGTTCAATCCTCAGCACCACATAAAAATAAATAAATAAAATAAAGGTATTGTGTCCAAAAAAAAAAAAAGAATAAATGACAAACATCTGCAGTAGTTCACATGCTGCACACCTCTAGACACGGAGCCTCAATACCCACACCTCGAGTAAGCACCCACTATAAGGACCAGGCTTGGTCTAAGGAACAGTGCCACAAAATCAAAGAAAGAAGTATAGGCCCTCCTTGCAGGTTTGGGGCTCTTGTGCTGGTGAACCCTAGCAGTCACTCTGCCCCCCATTCAACTGCCCTTGGTTCCAAAAGTCTCCACTAATATATCACAGCAAAGTCCACTTCTACTCCCCCTGCTGTTCCAAACAGGCCCCAACAGACTGAAGGTGGGCAGGCTGTGCTGTCAAATCACATCAAGACAGATAGGCCAAAAAATGAAGAACCGCCAGGCACAATGACGCACACCTGTAATCCCAGCAACCTGGGAGGCTGAAGCAGGAGGATCACAAGTTTGATGCCAACCTCAGAAACTTAGTGAGACCCTGTCTCAAAATAAAAAAATAAAAAGGGCTGGGTTAGCTCAGTGGTTGAGTATCAAAAAAAAAAAAAAAAGTGAAGAACTTAGGCAAGAAAAAGCAGAGCACCCTCAGTTATGGAACTATAGTGCCAAGGGCAATAATCGTTAGCACAGCCACAGACCATTTACAAGGTAGACCATGTACAGATTTTAAAGTATGAGTAGGCACAAGAAGCAAAGTCTACTCAGGCAGAAAACTGGGTTGAAAAGTGTCAGATGAAGGTTTTTGTTTTTGTTTTATTTTTTGGTATTGGGGATTTAAATCAGGAGCATTTACCACTGAGCCACAACCCAGCCCTCTTTTACTTTTATTTTGAGAATCTTACTAAGTTGCTGAAGCTTGTTTTGAACTTGCAATCTTCCTATCTCAGTCTCCCAAGCCACTGGGATTACAGGTGTGTATTACCTTGCCGGGCTCAGAGGAAAGTTCTTAAGATCCCAAAAGGCAGGCAGTGAATTGAGGCCACAGCCTTTGAAAGCCCCAGGATTCCCCCATGAGATGCCTCCATATGTTTTAAAGATATTCTTTATAGGCTGCCTGGCCCTCAAAAGAAATGGGAGTCCTAGCCCCCAAGTTAGTCCTCAAAAGCTTATTTTATTTGAAGACAGGGTCTTTATAGAAATAATCAAGTTAAAATGAGGTCATTAGGGTGAACCTAATCCAACTGACTGGTATCCTTATAAAAATGGGGAAATTTAGCCACAGACATGAATACAGAAAGATCATGTGAAGGTCAGGGTGATGCATCTACAAAACAAAGCCAAAGATTGCCAGCAACCATGAGGAACTGGAGAAAGGCCTGGAAAAGATTCTCCCTCTTAGCTCACAGAGGGATCCAACCTTACTAACAACTTGGTCTTGCACTTCTAGCTTCCAGAACTATGAGAAAGACAATGATTATCAGTTGTTGGGGCCACCCAGTTTGTTCTCCGTTCCCATCTTCCAGCTTTTTCCTCCTTGCATTTCTGGGCCACTTCTGCTTCWGATCCAGGCATACCTAACATGTCCACTTCTTCATTTGCATTCATCAAATATTTCCTAAGCTCCTACAATGAGCCATAACATTACGCAAATGACCTTGGAGAGGCATGTAAAGGGCTCCAGAAGGTGCTGACAGTTCTGTGACAAATGAAGCAAGCAAAGATAGAGGAAAGGTGCAGGTGCTAAAGCAAGTTGTTCTGGGCAACCCTGCTGTTTGTGCTGACGATGTACATGCAAACACTCCAAGTGGAGCTACTGGCTGCACTGTCAGCATAACCAAACATTTTAATACTGATTCAGTAAAAGCAATCAAAACATTATACCTCACTTCCTTTGCTGGCTTCATCCATAGTCCCTTCCTTACCTTTCCCCCACTGCATGCTTCTTGGTGGAAATGTCAGTCCAGGTTCCTGGCTCTCTCCAGCCAAGGATGCAAAGGATGCAGGGAGGGGATGGAAGCCAAACTAGTTGGCTGATGCTGTCTCTTCCAGGGCAATGAATCTCAAAAGGAATGAGGAAAAATGGGGAGAGGAGGAATCTGCTCTGTCACAATYGTAGAGGCAGTTGAGACCTGATTATCAGTAGTTCCCTTTGAAATTACAAATTCCAACACCTGGATACATCCTACAGGCTCTACCAGCATTTCTCAAAGAAGGAAACAGTTCTAAACAATCTTTTATTGTTTAAAAACATAACATCTTTGTCTGGGATACTACTATAAAATGTCATAAAACAGAGCAATTTAAACAACAGAAATTTGTTTCT